GACTTCAATTTGCAAAGCATCATATGTTCTTGTTGGTTTTGGAACAACATAAATAGAAAGAGCTTGTAGCTGATCACGACATGCACTTATTAATATTTTCATGGCTTTTTTTTATTTCAAAAGAAAGTGAAATAAAAGAAAAATGTAAAACATCAGGCATTTCTTTTTAGAGGTTCAAGGAGTTCAAATGATATTGCATAACAGAAATAACTTTTCAAAGGTTAATTTTGTCAGCTATTAGACAAGCACGAGCATACACTATAAGACTGGTACGATTTAATATTTATATTTATTTATTTATTTTTTTGAAAGGTTTTGAATATCTCTTATGGGTAAAAAGGTGAATAATTTGTTTGAACATGACATTGAACACTGAATTTATAACAGGTCAGAACAGCTCGAACCTGTCCATGAAGCTAACATATTTATGTCAATCTGAAACCTTTGAGAGATCATGCTATTATCTGCCAAAATCACTTAGTATTGACACAGGAAGCACTTCTCAAGTGACACGTCTAAGCTTGAACTGTCAGAAATATGACATTCAGCACATGGGATTAACCTGGTGCATTTCATCAAGATATGAAAGATAAACATCAGCTGTGATAGAGCCATGAACACATCCCTACAGACCATGTTAGGAGAACCCAGATAGAGAGCGGCGTTTATATAATGTACATATCTGTTCTCTCATAATATTCCACATGTCATAGGCAGCTCATTGTGCCTATATTTTAAAGAATTTGCAATGCTAAAATTAAGAACAAATTAATAAAAAAATAAAAGCAAAAAAAAAAAAAAAAAAATCAGATGACATTGCATTACAAGGACAACTAAAATTTTAAATGTGAATACTTCAAAGGTATATTTTGTTAGAATTAGATGTATTACCCTCCAAAAGGATGGGGTTTGCAAGATTTTTATTTTGTTATTTTTACGTTTTCAAAAGTCTCTTATGCTCACCAAGCCTGCATTTATTTACTTAAAATATTTCACAATATTACTGTTTTTACTATATTTTTGAACACAATTTAAAATAACTGTTTCTTTTTTAATATAATTTAAAATGTAATTTATTCCTGTGATGCAAAGCTTTTCAGCAGAGGATTTTCAGCATTACTCTTCAGTGTCACACGATCCTTCAGAAATCATTGTAATATGCTGATTTGTTCAAGAAACATTTCTTCTTATTATTAATGTTGAAAATGGATGTGATGCTTAATATTTTTGTGATAACTGTGATTTTATTTTTTTTTCCTGCAGGATGCTTTGATACATGGAAAGTAAAAAAAAAAACAAAACAACATTGTGACTTAAACATCATTAAACATTATTGTGACTGTGTACCATTTTCACGAATTTGTGTTTTTGTAGTTTACACAGAAACAATAACGGTGCAATTTTCAAAAACCTGCACCTTGAAAGCCATTTGCAAACATTTGCATTTTTAGGACACCCCCAAAACAAACGACCCCCATGTAAATGAACAGCCAAAATGCATAAAAGGTTTTCAGTTTTTGGTTAATAGGGGTGTTGTTTAAATGTTCCCTAAGTTGGAAAGTTCCTTACATTTTCTTTAAACTGATATTTACACTAGATAAATGCATTGAACACTCCTACAGAATGAGTGAAAGGTCATCTCAAACGGTGTGTCCTGCACATACTGCATCGATGGTGTTGTCAGTCACTGAGCTCAGTCTAAACAGCCTTCACTGCACACGTGATGCTCAAAATCAAGAATATAGTTCCTGTATTTGAGTCAGTATAGTATACATGACTCCCAAGGCTAGTGTGAGAAATATTTCACAGCCACAAATGTGTATACTCTTTGTGTGTGAATATTGGCAAATGGCTATGCCAGCCACAGGCCAAATACATCATGTGTGTTATGACCAATGCTGCAAACATTAACAGTGCATAAGACGACCTTTGGGCCTCTAGACCATGAATATTCCATTTTATTTGATTTATTTCTTTATTTTTACATGAGCAAGCTTAAGCTGCCAGTATGAAGCATGTATATCAGGATGAGTGCTGCAGCATCATATTGCGGGCAGCTTTGTGTGCAGATTGCTGTGTAATTAACTGACTTGTTTGTTAATGAAATGTCAAGTTATTATCTCAGTAATGTATTATTAGTATGATGTGTCTATCTGTGAACAGCTCACAAATGGTTGGGGTTTCACAAACTGAAAACAACGACAGTTTAAAGCAGTTTGTGTGTGCAGCTGTTATATATTTGGGAAAAAAAGGTTTTAATTTTAATTTTTGATATTGTTATAATTTGTAAATGTTTTTATTTTGTTTTTCAAAGGTTTTTGTTTCAGTGTGTATTTATTTATTTAGTGGGAAATGATTACGTTTTAGTATTGTTTTAGTTTTCATTCTATATAACATAACACCACAAATTGTTCCATCTGCATATGATAAAAACTACACTTCTTAAAAGGGTAGCACTTTATTTTACAATCCTGTTCCTCATGTACATACTACTTATTATAGTAAGTACAATAACTAGGTACTAACCCTGAACCTACCCCTAAACCTAACCCTACCCCATGTAGTTACTAGGTGTTATCAGAAATTTCTTAGGTAGGTACACTGTAAGTACATGCACGTACACGTACTGTAAAATAAAGTGCAACCCTTAAAAGAGTGTGCCCACTGCATCGTTCTTAAAACAACACTAACATTACACATTAAAAGCTCTCCAAAATCCCATAATCCATTGAGATTCTCCATAACAAAAGTTTTATTGGTCAAAGCCACAGCACACTTTAGTTTCTGCTGTCAGTGAACTGTGACAGCAGTAAAATGCCATTGCATTTAGCAGTAAACTATACAGTAAGTACCATCACTCTGGGAGTTTATGATTCAGCAGAATGAACTGGACCCTCACACGGCCTTCACAGAGAGCAATGGCTACTGATTTGCCAATGTTTGTAAGGTTCATGGCATTAAATATTTAAAGTATACTCAAATAAATTCAATCAACTACACTAGAATGTAATATCAGTTCTGTATTCAGCTCTACCATTATTTGAAGTAAACACTTTGCAGCTTTTTGTTTTATTGTTGTGGTGTTGTCATAGATAAGCAGTGCCTACTTGTATTTATTTATTATAATTTTTTTGGTCTATAAATTTTAGTTTACCCTTGAAGTTTTAAACTGTTGTTTTCTGAAAGAATATGCTGACAGCTTTGAAGATTAATTAAATCAGACCTTCCAGCATTGGAAACTAAACTTTTTATGATAATAACCTTGATGTGTTTGTAATTCTCAGCGTTAATCAGGGTCCAAATTAACCAGGGCTTGGATTAAAAATGCAACTGGATATGACAAAAATGCCCCAGATATTTAGAATGTGGGAATGATGTGGTGAATAGTAATTTTATCTGTTATAACATTTGATATATTTCATGATATTGTGCACTAGGTTTATCTATTAATGGGTTTAATTCCTTTGCAGGCAGACAAGCTGTCAGAAATCAGAGGTACTGTAAATGTTGCTTAATGTGTTGTTCATATGAAATGTTTTTGAACAACAACAAAAAAAAATCTAAATTAATATCTAATGACTCCAAAACAAAATATACAGTAGATAGGTGTATAATTAAATATTCTAAAATGTATTGGGACAGCGTATTATCTGTGCATTATATTTTTGAGCATTACTTATCACTATATTTGTACTTGATTTGATTTTCTGGATAACACATCTAATTGTTTAGATTGAGAGTTCAATGTAATTGTACAAGTAATAAACTAAATTGAAACATTTTACATAAATGAGCTGTTTTTTATGGTTGGAAAAAAAAAATGCTTTGACGTAGAACAAATCACTGGAAAGCAATTTCCACAGTACAAATTTATATATAAAACGTATATACAGTATATTATTCTCAAATTATTTGTTTGTTTGTCTGTGTATGTAGTCATTCATTCATTCATTTTATGTTGAATTACCTTTTATTTTTAAATGCTTTTCAAATGATCAAATTAAGACACAGTATAAGGCAGAGTAAAACAGAGTAAAAACAATAAAAAAAGAAGAAGACCTCAGGCTCAGTGGGATGTGTCATGTATGCCCTGCATTAAATTAATTACTAAGCTGAGCAGAGTCACATTAAGACAGCACATGATGACACGTGTCAGCAGGGTTATCATGTATTTCAGGCTTTTTGTGTGTGTGTGTGTGTGTGTGTGTGTGTTTGTATGTATGAAACATGATGTGATGCTGGCCCCCGAAGCCCTTTCTTCTCATGGTTGGCTATTGTTGCGTTGGGGCCAAATTTCAGACTCTTTATGTACTTGTCTTAATGGCGAGTAAACCATCCTGACATATCCCCCAACCACCCAACGCACACAAGCTTGCTTATTCTCTCCATATCAACTAACTCCATTCCATTTTCTGATGTAACACCTGGAAAGTCATGCTTACCTATTCCTGAGCGTTGATTTAATAGTCCATAAGCACGGCTAGTCAGATCGAACTATCCTTCATTGCAGTCCATCAGTCACTCTTGTCCCAGTTGCAGTCAGTCATGGGCAAAATATGATTTTAATACATTTAAAGTGTCTGGGCTTAACCAGAGCAGATTTCTGGCATTCTGTCTGAAATATATCAGAAACATACTCTACACAAGTATGCAATTACTATTTACTTTAATACACACTCTTATTGTGAGCAATCCATTGTTGCACATTAGTCCATAGGACTAATATATTGCTGACATAGCAAACAGCAAATCACATGGCTTTAATGTGTTTTCTATGAAATGCCAGTGCCGTTACACCAGATGTGCTATTATTCAGGTAGCGAGCATGCCAAAGGTTGAGGAGTGTGCATTGCATTTACTAAAGAGGTGAAGATGAAATAGGTCACATTTTAGTTTGGGGAACCAATTCTCACTATTGACTAACTATGAACTATGACTTCTGCTTCAATAAACAACTAATTTGCTGCTTGTTATTAGTTAGTAAGGTAGTAGTTAAGTTTAGGTATGGGATCTAGAATATGGTCATGCAGAATAGGCCATTCATATTTGTTTTATAGGTATTAATAAACAGCCAACATGCTAGTAATATGCATGCTAATAAGCAACTAGTTAATAGTGAGAATCGGTCCCTAAACTAAAGTGCTACCCAGAAATAATTCAGTTGCTCTGCCATGACAATAGTAAGAGAAAACGTGACTGTGGAAGAAGATATTGCACACGAATATCCTCTGTAGCGCCCTTCGCGACAATGCTGACACATTTCAGAACACAATGATGCGTCAAATCCAGCCTGCGTAAAATCGTTTGGGCCTTAGTTCCTCCATCTATTCAAAATCTCTTGAATCCATTGTGTTCTCAGCCTCAAGACCAAATTATGGAGACTCCATTATTGATGAATAAACAGCCTTCATTGAGCTAAATGAATCATAAAATCGCTTGAGGAGGGGTGGGCTGCTATCGAGTGTGATATGCTGGTGGATCAGTGTAGTGGGACTGAAGGTTGACAGCTCCTGCCCTAACTAAACAAGTCTCACCCACCTGTCAATCATCCAGATGGGTATGGAGGGACTCAATGGATTAAGGGATTTCAGAGAAGTCTATTGGAAACTTGCATAAACTGTATTTGCTTGGGCCATACTGAGTAATGGCATTATGGTCAGTGTTGAAAAACCTACTTTATGAATAGCGTGTACTTTATGAATTGTTTCGAAGTAGTGAAATAACAATAACACACTTAAGTTTAGGGACCAAATCTCATTATTAACTAACTATTAACTATGACTTTTGCCTCAATAAACTCTTAATTTTTTTATTAACAGTTATTAAGGTAGTTGTTGAGTTTAGGTATAATGTAGGATTAAGGGATCTAGAATATTGTCATGCAGAATAAGGCATTAATATGTGCTAATAAACAGCTAATATGCTAGTAATGCGCATGATTATAAGCAACCAGTTCATAGTGATAATTGTTCCCTAACTAAAGCGTTACCAAAATTTGCTAACTACACTGAAAAGAAGAAGAAGGGAAAAAAAGCTCTTTAAGGTAACAATTGCAGGTTACTACTTTTTACAGTGTATACTGAAGCAAAATAAATGTATTTAATATTAATATATAAAATATAACATTTACAAAAGTATTCAATTTACAATAAATGTCAATAAAGAAATCTAGAAAACAATCCTGAACTGGAACGTTTAAATAAATATTTTGTTTAACTGCATTAATATTTTAATATATGTCAGGTAAAAAAAAAGAATAAGTCAAATCACTAAAAACAAGCAGACACTGCTTTATATATAAAGAAAGGGTGTTATAGATAAAGTGTGTTTATCTAGTTTGTTTGGCTATAAAGTCACACAAACAAAACAAAAAACAACAACAACAAAAAAAGTGATGTAGCCTTACGTTACATTATACTGCCGCTTTTTAGGAAAAATCTGATGGATAAAATCCTGTCCTTCACTACGTTTTATTCTAATTCAACAGCCAATACAACAATACAGTTGTCTGCAACTTCCATTTAATGGATTTAATTGTACTTTTTTTCATGCTATCGACCTAGATAACCTGAAAGCATACATCTAAAGATGAAAAAAAATCTGAAACAATATGGACGGGTGAGTGCTTGTGCACATGGAATCAGAAAGGCCTGCCTGCAGGCTGTTGTTTGTTTTTGTGATCCTGCCTGGGGCTATATTCCAGATGGGACTTTAGGTTTGTTTCTTTCACTGCTATCAGTGTGCTCCTCGTAATTTCTCCCTCGGCTCTCCTGCCTCCGCAGCCTTCTGACTCCACCCAGCCTCGGCGAGCATCGCAGTCTGTCTTCGATCCCGAGTTATTTGGAGTTTTTCAAACGTAGAACCGCACCGAGGGCATTAAGAGCATGAATATATGGGAGAGATGGGCCGCACCTCGCCATTAAGATCTTAAAATGTTGTCATGAGAACAGGCTCGATGGAGAGGGAAATTGACTGTGTAAAATGTATCATTATTACGGTCGGCTTTTCGCTTGTAATGACGATATGCTTTCTGCGTATCCCATCTCTTGTGTGGGAAACGATGTAGGGAAATGACCCCTGAAGATGACTGCTGCACATGAGTGATGGAGAGTGATGGAGTGTTGGAATAATGGGAACAGAGCATCAGTGCATCGTACAGAAATGAGAGGCTCCTGTACAGAGTGGGCTGTGAGTGAGAGCTGAGAATTGACGATTGAATTACTAAGAGAGATAAACAAAAGACTGGGGAAATAAATGGAAAAATGGATAGCTCTGGCTCTGAAATCTGACTGGATGAGCCGCATTTAAAGCAGTTGTAAAATAGCCATAAACATATATCTGTGACCATATGTCAGTTAAATTCCATATTAATGGATGCTCGGCAGCCATAAACAGCCCCAGTTGGACTAATTAACTTCAGTACAAAATGCTTATAATTTCTTATAGTTTAATGCAATGAACTGTTGGCTGGCTGGATGGATGGACAACAGATAGATAGATAGATAGATAGATAGATAGATAGATAGATAGATAGATTTTGGTGAAGGGTGCTTTGACAGACAAACACATACATCCTCTAGCGCACAGATCTCGACCCGCTGAGCCACGGGGGAAATGAGAGCAGAGATCCACTCAAGCTCACTCTGCCACGGCAGCGCTGATCTGCCCACCGCTCTCTCAAACACGCACGCTTAGCCTGACGGACCCAGACACATGTTCAACACTCACCTCCACTCACACACCAGCACAGGGTCACAAATCACCTCCCTACAGCCGCATATTAATTACCTCATTCACAGCCGGGAACAGCGCACTGCAAATCAACCTAAAGCCCAGCTGATTACGCATGCAGATATATAGGAATAATAATACATACAGTCCGAACCAATCAAAAATGTTGCTCTGGGAACGTTTTAACCTTGTATTTATAGGATTCTCCAAAGTCTGGGTTGTGTTCCAATCATATGAGTGATGAGATAAGGAAGGAATAAACTGAGATATTCTTTACAACTATGTGAGGACAGCACGCAGACAGAAATAATGCAATGCCGCATATTAGAAGGATTTCTGAAGGATTTTGTGACAGAAGATAGATTGAAGTTATTTAAAAAAGAAGAAATATAGGGTACAACGGGGCTAAAGCAGGGGCGGTTCTAGACCACAGTAACATTGGGGCAGACAGGGGCCACTTGTGCTTTTAGGGGGCACAATTTTAAAATTCATGACACACAGCAGCCACAACGCCACTGTATAACTGATATAGGCTTATGTCTGCTGAAAAAAACAAATCAACAATAAATCCATCACAGAACATTTTAATGGTTTCCACAACAAAGAGCATTACAAACATTACAAACCATTAACCTTTAACCATTAAATCATAAAACAATTAATATATTATAATGGTATCTATGTGTCAGGGTTATGAACCTGTCTGTGTTTTTGCTCCCTGTGACCCAGTTTCTGTCTCCCGTAGGGCCACTTGTGCTTTTAGGGGGCACAATTTTAAAATTCATCTTAACCTACTTTAAGTATTATTCATTCAATCATTTTTCACCGTCATGTATCACTGCAATCTCTAGAAGTAATCTATAACAATTGTAACTAAAATGAATGTTTCATCATGTTTCATTTATTTGACAAATATTAAATCATAAAACAATTAATATATTATAATGGTATCTATGTGTCAGGGTTATGAACCTGTCTGTGTTTTTGCTCCCTGTGACCCAGTTTCTGTCTCCCGTAGATTGTGTTAATTTGATTCCAGGTGTGTCTAGTTCTTCCCCCAATTATCCTGTGTTTAAAAGCCCTAGTCCTTTCAGTCAGTGTTTGTCGGTTCTGAACGTCATTCCATGTGTTCCTGTGTCTCCTATGTACCCCTTGTGTTTGGATTATTAAAAGACTGTGGTTTGAAGCTATCTCTGTGTCTCCTCGTTCCGTGCTCCGAGTGAATTGTGACACTATGCTGGTTGATATTATAAATTATTTTGCTGCATTGGATACGACGCGTGCATCAGATTAATGCAATTTACATCCAATCGAGGTCAGAAAATACGTAAATTTGTAAAGTGGAATTCAAAATGTATCTTCCTGGGCGGGTCACATTTTACCAGGCTTATATATGGAAAACACTGGTTATTATAAATTTAATAATATTTCACAACATTGGTGTTTTTTGATCAAACAACAAATACAGCATTGGTAAGCAACGTTCAAAAACATTAGAAAATCGTAATGATTCCAAACTTTTGACCAATAGTGTAAATGTACATTATTAAATTGCAGACTTTGCATTTTGACAATCGCACTAAGCCATATCACATTCTCATGAACAATCATTGTTAGAATTCATAAAATCTGGTGAGTAACACTAACTCATGTACTCACAAATGCTGAATTTTTATTCACATTTCAAATACTTTTTGCAGTTTGTTTAGTAATCGCTCAAGGCAATTTAGCAGTTTTAATTTTCATACTGCCAACTTATTTTTTTCAAAATTATGCAATTCCTGTGTGTCATGCTTCCCTGGTCAGAAAATATAGAGATCCATATAAATATTAACCACCTGCAGAGGCTCAAACGGGCCCTGCTGTAGTGCCGTGAGCACCAGAGTCAGGTCCCAAGGAGGGGGGCCGTGGAGGGGGGGCCGTGGAGGATTTAACCTTCTCGATTTGACCAGGTCATGCTTCCCCAACGACCTCCCTTCTACGGGGTTGCAACACACACAGGGGTAGTGCAGCCTGCTGTGTGCAACCCACTCGACACGGGAAACAACCGCCGCTGAAGCGCCGTACCGCCAACACGAGAGCCCACCAAGAGCGTGCTTGACTTGTAGTCTTCACTCTTGTAGAGGTCAGGAGCAGAACGATCGAACCGCTCGGCTCCGAAGCGAAAAGCTGAATATGCGTTGCATCTGCTGCCTACTTATACTCACGCTGTGATCAGCAGCAGCTGGATGCAATAATCGCATGCCAATGTGCATTGGCTCGTTTAGTTTACACTCGAAGTGGATTGGTCTCTCTAAGCGAGATCCCAATTTCGTCGGTCAGCCGACGTGACGTCGGGAGTGACCGACTGAAAGGGAACTCATCCCTTCTGTCTAGCTTCTTAGTCTTCAGCATCAGCACTGCTCATTCTCTCTTCACTTTGTAATCACAGTCTGCAAATCAACAACTAATTACACCTCCAGTTTCAAGTTATTACCTAACCTTTATTCATTCATACTTTGATTTCAATGTATATGCTTCTGTCAAAGTGTCACAAAATACTTCCAATTAGTTAAGGAAGTATATTTTGCCAACAAAACAAAGCAGGCAGCTTTTCTGGCAGCAGAGTTCTATGCATCTTGAGACCAGTTTGTGTTTATTGGCTTGACAAAGCCCAATTTATTGGATAAACTTGGCTAACTCCGTTATGATTCTAACTCCATCCACCAAACTCTGCACTGGCTTTCAGCCTTTTCTGACACAAGTTGCTATAACTACCAATGTGGAGACAAAAGGCATCTTTCTCCTCTGATGGCCATCCAAAAGTAGCGTTGTATTTCATCAAAGTATACTTGATTAAATACATCATTTTTGAAGAGCACTTACAAGAAAATATTCAAATACTTTCTCACATTTATCCATCTGTTCTATTTTTAAGAGTATAAATATAAAGTACACAGCATACATGAAGCAAGCATAGACTTCAAACTCTGAGACAAGCCAACATTGAAATGTTGTCCTCAAAACCTGCCTTTTCTAGTTAAAGCAATAGATCACACCCAAAAAGTAAATACATTTTCTGAAATTTTACTCACCTTCAGGCCATCCAAGATGTAGATTAATTTATTTCTTCATAGACACAGATTTGGGGAAATGTAGCATTACAGTACATCACTTGCTCACCAGTGGATCCTCTGCAGTTGAATGGGTGCCGTCAGAATGAGAGTCCACACCACTTCAGTCCATCAATTAACATATTGTGAAATGAAAAGCTGCATGTTTGTAAAAAAACAAATCCATCATTAAGGCATTTTAAGCAATAGTATGGATGGAGGACTCATAATAACCGGAAGTAACAGTTTGAAGTTACAAACATCTTAATGAACTTTTCACTTCAGAAGACATTGATTGATGGACTGGAGTGGTGTGGATTACTTGTGGATTATTGTGATGTTTTTATCAGCTGTTTGGACTTTCATTCTGACGGCACCCATTCACTGCAGAGGATCCCCTGGTCAGCAAGTGATGTAATGCTACATTTCTCCAAATCTGTTATGATGAAGAAACAAACTCATCTACATCTTGGATGGCCTGAGGGCGACTCAGTTTTCAGCAAATGTTCTTTTTGATGGGTGAACCATTTCTTTAATAATCTTTTTCTACATACAGTATGTCAGAGCTGCTCATGTTAACACATTTCAAATTAAATGCAGCATCATGGGTTAAACGACTATATAATACAACATGTAATATTCAAACAGACAAGATGGACACAACTTTTGACATTTCAACACTAGCACGTCAGTTCCAGTGGATCGCAAAATCACATATAATGAATAAACTAAATAAAGAAATAAACAGAACGACATTGTCACAGTAATATCAGTTTAGGGACAGAAAATCTATTTTTCTCTCGCTATGGAAAGGACCCCAGGGCTTAAGCCATAAAGCAGCTTCTTGATGTCACATTAAACATAATGAAGGAGAAGAGAGAAAAACAATTAGCTAAATGTTCCTGGGGATCAGAGGTAATAATTAGAGTGAAATGAAGTGACAGGTTTAACAGGCAGGGATAATTTCACATCGCCCTTCATCCAGAGGGAAATCTGCCCTTTAATTGAGTCTGCCGGCTCTTTGTTTGGCAAACAGGCCAGAGTGCAGCATCTCAGACTGCTACTGTCTCCTGTTGTAGCAACTTTCCTGGGCTTTTATCATCTCTCTGCCCCTCTTTTCATCTCTCTCTGTCTCCTTCCGCTCGCTCGCTTGCTCTCAACCTCCCAAACACACTTTACTTTACACACACATTGGTATTGTCCTATAGAGACCCAACAAAATACCCTCCTGCTCTTTATTGTGAGCAAATGGATTCGGCGTCCCATGAGGGGGAGGCGGGGGGAATGTGATGAAAAAAACTGCTGAAAAGTACTTCCAGCATCTCGGCTTCAGTCAGGACTTGGAATAACCTGGAGCTCAATGGAGTGTTAAATGGGAAGTCATCTGTATTTCTGCCACAGCCGTAATGTCATTGCCTCCCCTCATGGCCCGAGTGTTGTTGTGAGAGAGCCCTGGGTTATCTAATCTACCATGAGCATTTCGGCGCCGTGTGCTTACAATAGACCATTGCATTTGTAAGGTATGTATGTGCTTCCTGACACAACAATGGAGACAAGCACCTACTCCCAGCAGGAGCAACTCCATTACAGATTTCCAAGGAAAGCTGGTTCTCCCGCTTCAAAATATTTACTCATAGGTTTATCTTGATGAAAAGCAATTCCGCGTACAATTCGGCAACATCACAGCTGAAACCGATATTCCGTAGATGTCAGCAACCCCCGTCATGTGGACTGTATACTTTGATTGTTGTGAAGATTGTGGGTGGTCTCCAATTCTGCAATTAAATGTTTTTTTTTTTTGTTTTAAAAAAACAATGTTAAAATTACACTGGTTTCTACAGAAGTACAAAACAACGGGCGCATTTGATTTTATTCTCCTCCAACCCACAAGATGGCACAAAAACAAAACAAAAAAATTTGCTGATCCTTGACACGATTGTTGGCAGCAGCGGAAAGTTGATTCTGCACTGATTTTGTTTTATATGTAATGATTTTTAAAATGTTAATTTATGTAGCAAATAAAAATAGATAAAATTAGCAAATATAATTTGAGACTTGTTAATGGTTTTCAGATTTAAGGCAAGCTTTCCAATGACTAAAGAATATGTAAAGAATATTGTACTGGCTTAAAAACAGCACGATAATACATAGCTGGAATTTTCCATTTATTGACATATATAAAATTATTAGAAATCCATTAAAAAATATCATGGGTTCCCCAAGTAGAGTAATAAGCTTTCTTTTTTTTTTTTACAGACTATTTTACTTTTCTTTCTGATTTTTTTAAATGAAATATTTTATGACAATGTATTTATTGAACAAAAAATATTTTTTTTTATCAAAATAAAAAGAAAATAATAAACTTTGCTGAAGTTTGTTTTGATCAAGTATTAACTTAAATATTATGCAAAACTGCATTTAATTGTCTTTTACTTGATAATGACAATAAAGCTGAATTAATAACATAATACTAAAACATAATACTTCAGCTGAAGTATTTGTATCAATACAATACCTTTTTCTGATATTATGACGAGCCTTTTGCTCGTGGAGTGTGGGGTAAAAGCACCTCATACATACAGTATATAGTTTGATGATGATTTATTTTTCACCACAAATCATGTTGCTGCATCAATGTTCTTTTTTTCTGCAATCATACGCTATGTGAAGAGTGAACTCCACATTTCCCTTCAGTTTTGCCTTAAGGCCTGTTGTACCCTATATACATTAACTGAACAACATCAGAGGTCTAGGCCTGACTAGAAAGGTTTATATGTTATCGTTCACTGTGGTGTGGAAAATGTATGTGACTTTAAAACCTTTTTGTTGCACTCTACTGGCAAAGCATCTCAGATGAAGCTTCACATAACTCTGTAAATAAAGCAATAATCACACACATTAGCCCATTATAGGATGTAAACCAACTCACTTTAAACACACAGCCAAATGCTGTCGAGGGTCGATCAGTTCACAGCAGTTCATTTTCTCTTCAATGAGCCAACAGTTGAAGTAATGTCTCCAACTCGCCCACAGGCATTCAGAAGAACCATCAAAAGTGCTGCTGAGGGTACTTCGCGTGCTGAGGTTTCATTTATTTATTTACTTATCTATTTAAGAAATAGACAGAATTAAAAATGCAAATATACCAAAACCTTCACTGTCAGTAGCAACAATCTAGTATGTAAAATGTAAACTCAGAATTTCTCCAATTTAAAAATCTAATATATTTCTTAAAAATTATCAGTTTTTCAAAAACAAAATAAGAGTAAGATAATAAGATAGCAAGTATAAGGCTGAAATTATACTTGCAGTTTAATACTAGAAAAATCCCTTGCAGACACCACAGTAGCCTACTAAATCTGAATATGAATCTGAGTCATTGTCTAAATGTACAATATTTCCTAAAATCTTATATTTCACATTTCTGAATGCATGTACATGATATGTAGGGATGCACGATATTGTCGGACCGATATAGGAATTGGCCGATAATGGCTTTAAATGTAAATATCGGCATCGGGCCGATATGAAAAATCATGCCGATATGTATTGCCGATAAGAGGAATACATTAGCTCACATGTGCTCAGGGTGTGCTAGCGATTAGATCGAGTCAGCAGTGTGGCTCATTCTTGAAGCAAAGTTTTGTCTGAATAACGATTAGATTGACTGTTTTGGATCGCTGCATTTAATCTGTGACGCAGGAGAATTATTCGATTTAGATTTTAATCCAACAAGCAAAGGTTTACAAACACAGGAACACTGGGATGACATTTAACACAGGGTTTAAATGCTAGGGGCAAATTAGATAATTAATCAGACACAGCTGGATACAAATTAACACAATGAGGACAGAAACAGGAAACATGACCAAAAAAGGAAAACAGAAACTAAGACAGGGGTAAAACAAGGAAACACAAGTCCACAACACTGACAGGTACAGAATGACGCGTTCAGTGTATGATAGAGTGAACAGTAATAGCACGTGCAGCGCAGCAGGAGTTTTAATCTACAGGGGGCGCTGTTGGCCTACTTCTAATTAAATTAAAAGTAAAATACACAAATAACATTTAGACTGTGCGTCTGATTAAATAAAGCAGTAATTGGTCATAAAATCATGAGTGTGTTTTGATTTAAGGTTCAGAAGCTATAGCTTACATGAATAAAAAAAAATCACAAACATGAGATTTGAAAATTAAAAAAAATTATATATACTCATTTATTCATTAATGTGTAATATGGTATATTTTTTAAACAAATTATGAGCTCTAAAATATTTACAGAATTTTAATTTTTTTTTTGCTTTAGACCATCTACAAATGTTAAATCTTAAAATGAAATGTTAGTTATTATTGCATCTATCTGATAAAAATGCAGCAATTGATATATAGTTTATTTATAGTTATTTTCAAAGCTTCAGTGTACTGTCATTATAAAATAACTTAATTATTGCTTTTTTATTATTATTGTTATAACAAATAAGTTCTTGTTTAAAAACTAACCAAAATGAAAAAAATAATTTGATTATCATTTCTGCACAGGAGAGAGACTTGGTGTTGTTTCCAAACAAAGGGAAATATATAGGTATCGGCATCTGCTATCGGCCAAAATTAGTTAAAAAAATATCGGCATATCGGATATCAGCAAAATCCAATATCATGCATCCCTAAAAATATGTAAACCATATACTATCATAATTTGTTATCTTAATTTTAATTTTATGTTTAATTTTAAGAGGGACAGATTGTGGAAACTTGTCATCTAAGAGAAGGCGCAATATGATCACATAATATGAATGATGTATAATTTAGTAGAAAATCCTAGAACATCCCAAAACGCTATGTTTGAGAAGTCATCAAGTTGATGTAAGGCCTATAATGCTGGAGTGGCTAGCAGTAAATCTGTAGCTGAGGGAG